TTTCAGCAATATTTATTTGATTAATTTTACCATAAAAATCAATTAATGCATTTTGTAAATGAACATGTTGAATATTTAATAATGATAATAATTCATTATGTATAATTTTACCTTGTTTTTCATCACGTAAAATTGTACAAGCTAAATAAAATAAATTATAATTTTATTTACTATAAATTAAAAATTTTTTACCATTAAGTAAAAGAATATAAGTAACATTATCAGGTAAAATTTTTGGACGCATTTTATCAATACATTGAAAACAACGTTCAGCTTTATGATTTTGAAGATAACCTTTCTTCAAAAAAAAAAATTCATTTGATTAAATCTCAATGATATTTAAATAATATTTACAAGCATAGCATTATAAACAATAACATCACATTCAGATAATTGACGAATTCTTTCAAAAATTTGTTCAGCTAGAATAAATCGATTGTTTTTTTGCTTTTTGTTCTAATGATTAATTTTGATATTTTACCTTGATCAATCATTTGATATTTCATATACATTTTAATTAATGATGTTTGAAGACGTATATCATCTTTCCATTTAATTGATTGATTAATAAATGTTTCAATTTGACGACCACGTTCAATATGATTTGATCGAATACATGTATCAAGAATAGTTAATAATGATATAATACTAACATTATTTTGTTTAATAAGCATATCAAATAATTGAAATGCACGTTCATATTCACCACGATTATTAAATATTTTTATTAATTGACTAGTTGATTCGGAAGTATATGATGGTAGTTTGAAATTATTATTTCTTTTAGTAGAATAGTTAAGTATATATGAAGAAAGGGCAATAAGACGCTGAATGATGGGGCGATTGTTTGCAGAGATTATCATGTTTTGTTTTTTCAATGAGTAAAAGATTTTTCTGAATTGTTAAATCAATAGAATATGAATGGTCAATACAGTTTACCATTGAGGTAGTATAAGTAAAAGAGGGCAGTATATAATCGAGTTGTTTTCCTACTAAAAATCTAATCGTGATCGTTTCTTTCATGAAATATGGTTGTTTTTTTAATCTGAATTCAAAAACGTCTGCTAACACTTCTGTCTGTTACACAGAGTGGAAAATATTAAATATGATACGAAAAGTTTCATATATCCTTTTCAAATTCTATATCGTATAACATTTTGTTTGTTT